AAATTTAGTACTAAATTTGGGCACCATTATTTTGGAGCACCCTAGGGTAATTAAAATGAAGCCAGAAGCATATTCAATAGATGAAAATGTCTATAGTTCAGGGTTGAACTATGAACTTCTTGATGCCATCTGGGCTTGGTTGTTTGTTTGCCGAGATTTCATTATCCAAACAGGTAATATCATCAGTGCTTGAAGATGTTATTAAGTTACGTAATTATCATCTTCTAGCAGATAATCAAGCTCAGAGAGCACCAAGCCTCCACAAAATTAATGTGGTTTAGTCCTCATTTGTAATCTCTTGATTACAAGAGATTCTTCTTTTCCTTATTACCTATTTCCTATGACATGTTTTATTTTCAGAAAACTCTTTATCCTCACCATCTAAATTCCAACTTGCCTGAATTCTTCTTGATGCTCTGTCAGGATCAAGGGATAACTATCCAGATGGTAGTCTATCTGTAACCCATGCTAAAAATAGCTTTAGTGCATGCGTGCCAAACTTGCCATGTCACGTTGCTGTCACATGACATATCATGGTTTTTCCCTTCACGGAGCTGGGGTGGGTGTGGCCTGCATGTAATGCATCTAGCCCGCAGGCCGCCAGTTTGATACCCCTGCTTTAGTGAGTTAACAGTAAGACCAGTTTCTTCTTGAGTAGGCCTCCAGGTGTTGTGAGGAACTATGGATCTTTCACCATGCTGCAAGTGCTAATTTGCAACAGTTGGCTACTGATGTAACTTCCCTCTTAAATAATTCTACAGGTTGGAGATGAGGAGGAGATTTTGCCACCCAAGTTGAGAAGTGAAATGTTGCAGTCTTTGCCAACAATGAACAACAACATTCAGAGTAAGTTCATTCTCTGTACCAGCCTTGCCTAGCCGGCTGTCTTTCATCATCATTAGATCTCAGATCCCCTAATTCCTCTCTACTATGGCTATTGGTTGGAAACTGTGGGAAGAAACACAACATATTTGAAGGTATCGGGTTGGAGGAAGATGCTTGAAGCATAGAAGACAATGAGTTTTAATAAATGTGTGTGTATGATGAGATTTGTGCTTTGTTTGCTAACGTAAAAAATAACTCTTGGAATAAATAGTTCATATGAAGCGGAACATTATACATGTAACTTGTCTTAAGTATCCTATATCGTTTCACTTAGATGTTCTGCCAAGAATAAGGAGAGGTTTCTGAAGCATGATTAGTCAGCATCTCCTTGGTATAAGACAATTTTTTTTTATGTTATCACAAGTGGCTGCAGATTCCTAAATTCAGGAAAATTTTAAAAAAATGTGGCACTGAGAAAATGAAAGTGTATTTAGACTAGCTGCATAAAAGAAGTATGTAGCTTATTTGTAAATGGATACCTTCTTTATTTCTCTTAAGAAATCTTGCAGAAAATTATAAACTGAAATTACAGACTGTTATTTTTAAAATAACAGCTTCCTAGCTTTATTTAAATCTTGTTATAATCCTAACAAAAATGTTGTCCTTGAATAATTAAAATGTTGGCCTCAATCAGTAGTAGATAATGAACAGATGAAGCTTGTTTTAAGAGTAAATACAACCAAACAGAAGACCATTTTCATTTTTGTGTTACCCGATTATCTGCTAGTCCATTGCTGTGAAGGAAACATGATTTTCAGTTAGTATCAGGGGTGAAATCCAATAGGTTCTGGAGAACTGGTAGCGGCAATTTTGTGCAGTTTGGAGAACTGGTAGCGGCAATTTTGAGTACTTGGCTCCAGAGTGGGGTGGGAATGGAGGTTTTGCAGTATCCTTCCCTTGCCACATCCACCAAGCCACGCCCACCAAGCCACACCACATCCACCAACCAATGCCCACAGAATCAGTAGTGAAAAAAAAAATGAATTTTACTACTGGTTAGTATGTAAAATTTGAATACTGGAAACTAAAACATTGTTAACTAAGCAGTGCCCTAAAGCACACCTTTGGTTGTGCAGAGAAATTGCAAGATACAACAGTTAGAAAAAGATAGTGTTGTGGTTAAAGTAAATAGACCTATCCATTGGGTTAATTGTTATCACTGAAGAAAAGTCATCACTCAGAGTTTGTTCTGAGATATCTTATTGAAGGTATAGCAGGGCAGTGTTTTTTGCAGTTCCTGCATTGTTGGAGGTCAAAGTCAAAAGTATAGTTATTATTCTAGATTAAAAAAGATAAGGACTGGCACATTACTTTAGATTAATCATCTACATCATGTTCATTTATGCTTGACAGGTACTTTCTGGGCTACCAGATTCAGATAGAACTAGTCTATCCAGGCCATTTATTTCAAAGTGCATTACAATAATAGTGATTAGGTGAGCAGTAGTAAAAGCACTTTTTTCTCAGAGACAGAACTGTCTCTATGTATTGAGGAAGACAATCAAAATAGACTTTTCTGCAGAGCATTTAAGGGGTAATCCTGTGAATTTTATTGAGGGTTTAGATAGCATTAGAGTATTGAGTATTAGGGTATGTTGATTTTTTTGTTTGTTTTAGGTGATGGATGTTATACTTGTAAACTTCACAAATTCTATGTGAAATCAGTTGTAGCACTGTAAGCACTATAAATACATATATAATATTTCACTAAAGTAATAAGGTAAATATTTTAGTCTTTCTTTTACTGTACCACTGAAATGTTTCAGGAGAAAAATAATGACATGTTTGATGATATAGCTGATGCTCATTTTATGTTAGATATTATGATTATAGCTTTCTCCATGTGAGAAGATCATAATATATTGAAGGTAGCGATGGAAAGAACCCAGTAGGCGAGTGATAAATTTAACTTAAATAATATCAAGTCTCAGGGGAATGAGATACATGAGCATTTCATCAGAAGTAATTAAAAACTTAAGGTTGAACTAATAAGCCATTAGTGGTATGCTCAGATTTCTTGCACAGTATATTTCCAATGAAGCAGAAATAATGCTATTGAAATAACTGCCATGTAATAATACCATATGGCAATGATTTGTAGATTAGGGTAGGGCATTGCAAGATATAAAAACAATATTGTATATAGTAAAATTTTATGATCTTAGAAAATCAGTTATGAAGTCAACCACATCTAAGAATGATTAGCCGCTTGCTTTCTTTAAAAAAAAATTCCATCATGAACTTTTACTGAAGCAGAATAAAGTATGGCTAGGCTTAGAAAAAAATTGCCATTGGATCTAAAATATATCATCAATGTTCCTGATTTGTATTCTGTCAAGAATACAAATCTGTATTATAATACAAATTTAGAATACAAATATAGGCTGACCTAAAATGGTTTTGCAGATCCTTGGGAAGGTAGAGGCTTGTTCCATGTTCAAAACAAAATATTGACCTCACTTTGTATTCCTCTCTTTTGAGAAATTTATTTAGTCTTTCAGTTCTCCATCAAAATGTAAGGGTAGATTAGTTGAATTCATTACCCAAATCAATATTTGGAATGACAGGCTTTTATTCAGGTAGTACCATCAGAATAGCTTAGAGATGTTTAAAGTAACTAGAATCTGTTTTGCAACAATTACATTGGTCTATGAAAGATTTAATTTCTGTGTAAGGTATCTTGTGATGGCTGGGAGTAAGATTATTGTCCATAGTAATATGAAACCATAAATGCTTAGTTGCTTTCATAAATTACATCAAGAGGTGCATTATGTGTCAGTAATTCAGAAACTTTGCATTTATCAAGGATGACGCACTATGTAGCAATTGTGCTGAACAGTGCAAGCTTTGTCTAGAGCAGGGGCAAGTAACAAACAAACAAAAAACACATTGTTATCTCATGACATTCTAGACGTGTCATGGTGTAAAATAGCTGATGGCATTTGTTAATTTGGTAGACATAGTTGCTTTCAGTGAATTCAGAAAAGAATTTGTCAGATACGTCAGCTTGGTTGGGTACTATATTACAGATATATTTTCTGGTTATATATTCTACATGATGCTATATGTACAGATATTTCATTTTGCCAGTAGAAAAATAGTATAATTTTAAAAGGTCTTGGAACAATATTAACACAGTCCAGCCAAATTGAATGGGGGACTGGACAATAAATAGTAACCAATTGAACAATAAATAAATGAATAATATTTTATAAAACTGTAAGGAACAGATAAGAAAGTTTGTTAAGTTTTAATGGAAGTTTGGAATAGAGTATTGATTGGCCTGGAGTGCTCCCTGGTGAAGTTTTTCATAGGCCACATATTGAGGACAATCCCTTTGACTGCTCATATAACTCTTCAACCTAAGATTCTTTTCTGGTTACAGAAGAGCAGAAAAAATGTTAAGATCATCAGCAAAGTTACTTTAACAGACTTTAAAGCACGAGACTGTGTACTTGTGAAAATAGCAAAAAGTTGTCACCCAACAAAAATAATAAAACCATAACTAGAGCAACAATTGCATTATGTTGAGAATTCAAAACAAAATAAATATTGACAGACGACCTCTGAGAGACAACTATAGAATCTCAGATTTAGGTCAGAGAAATCTTAAATTGGCAAATAGAATTTGAAACTTAGCTGCAGTAGACAATTCACCATATGGCCTCCAACAGCAGTGGTTTCAACAGTTGGCTCTAGTTCACAATTGCCAGAAGCTGAAAGAAGTGAAAGTTTGGACCAGTTGCAGAACACCAAATTCATAATTGGAAGTAACAATGGTAGGCTAAACATAGGAGTGGATGCCAAATTCAATGTCTTGTTCATTGTTCCGAATTAAGATAGTTGAAAAATATTTAAAGTATATTTTGATCCTATTTTAGTAATATATGTAAATATATAGTTACTGTAGAATAATGTAATGCTAACCTTTCCTTATGTAGCATAATGAAACTGAAAATATGTGGTATGTTTCTGATAAGTTAAGGATGCCTTTCAAAATAAATAGTTTAGGTTAAAAAGTAGGGTGGAAGAGTGTATGTGCAGCTTGCCATACACTGTTCTATTTCATTTTTGGAGGTTGAAAAGTATTTGATGCATACCAAATGAGCCCTTCCTGTACTGCGTCATGCATACTTTGAAGGGAATTATTTGCATGTATATCACATTCAATTGTTTACATCAAGCAAAGACATTGTGCAGAGAGCTGATTGCCAGGTACAGCCTAAAACTGCAGTTGAGCAGAAAGGCCAAATTATATGCCCAATCATGTCACTGTGGAATTCAGTAAACAAATTAACCTGTATTCTGCCTGGTACACCATCTAAAGCAAACTTCACATCCTGACTCACCCACACATTTCTCAGCTATCAGCGGGACAATTGTAGTATTCTCTTGCATGTTCATAGACAGACCATTAGTAAAAAAATCAACAACTGGAAAAGCCTCCACATTAACAAGCTAAGGAAAAAAAATGAGTCTGACATGAAAACAATACCACCGTTCAGATTTCTGTCAGTGTGTTCCATTCCTTTCCAATACATTTTATTAAAAGGAAACTCTAGGAAACCCTAGTTTTCAGTTTTAGCCAGCTGCCTGGAGGCTGACACTAAATAAAAGGGTGGTGTAAAATGTTCATGCCATTTCCCTGTGTTTTATAGCCCCAAGAACTTTTGAGTAACACAATAAACGAGGCATTCAGTGAAGAAAAATTCAGACATGAAGTAGAATGATATTGGTTTTTCAAATTCATTTTCTAATCACTCAGCTTTATTTCTGAAAACATCTCGAGTCTAATCCATCCAGGACAAGTGACTTGTAACCTATAGTATAGAATACAACTCTTCTGCTGCATATATGCCATTTACTTGGTGACATTAAGACAAGGAGAATGATAAAGATATTACCGATTTACCCTACGTAAAGTGTACAATTCATAGAGATTAAATCATGAGAATAGCTTTTTGTTTAATAATTATTAGCTACAAGAACTACATGATGATGATTTGATTTGTAGTTTAAAATTAAGCCTTGGTTATAGAATCAGTATCTCATGATGTTTTCAGGAAGATTTGTTGCAATATCTTTCTTGAAATATCATGGCAGAAAGACTGAATTTGTAGAGTTTCATGGCTGGGGTTAATAAAATTGGAAGGCTTTTAATTTTTTAAAGATAAATAGTTTTTTTCTACATTATAAGCAAAGTAGCAAAATCTTTTGCAGCCATGTGCTTATTCATATTAGTATTTTCGTAGCTTTTTAATCTTGAGAATGACCTGTTCCCTATCTCCTAGCAGATCTTCCAATACCTATCACCACTATAATGCTTTGACCTGCCTCTATTCCCTCAATGGCAGCCCCATTCCAAAATCCAGGCCCTTCAATCCTTACGACCAGGAACATTCCATTATTCCCAGTAGCTATCCTGGCACTCGGAGGCACTTTAGCATCACTAGATTGTTATTAATGAATGGATGTAATGTGCTGATTAAAATTTTAAGACTGTATATCTGATTGAAAAGGAAAGGGTGACTAGTTTCACAATTCTGGAAGCATCTCAAATCTTCATTTGAGGCACTGTACACAATTTGATGGAACCTATATGAGGGCATTCTAAATTGGCTTCCATATGATAGCTGTTCCAGTCAATGTGATTTGTAGAATTTTCTGAGGTAGCGTTTCAAGTTTTAAGATAGGGAAAATATTTATGTTGACATGCTCTCTCTCTCTCCTCTTCTTTTTCAAGCATCTGAAGAATTCAATACACATGTTTCGGACACCTTTATAAAATTCTTTGTGAGGATGATTGGTCATTATCCAGCATATATCAAATGGAGCAGAAATGGCACAGGCAGCTTTCAAGAACAATCATTTTGCAAGGCTATCACCTCCAAGACCAACCGCAGATTTGTGAAAAAATTTGTTAAGACTCAAATGTTCTCATTATTTATTCAAGAAGCAGAAAAAAGCAAGAAGTGCATAGAAGGTAAATTCCTAGGCCCTTGTGGCCATGTCTTTTTTTCCTTGACATTAACATTCTGACCACAAAGAGATGATTCCCCAGCTAGCAGAAACTTCTCACAGGATAGACCTGTGATTGTCAACCTGTGGGTTGCGACCCCTTTGGGGGTTGAATGATCTTTTCACAGGGGTCGCTAAGACCAATGGAACTCTAAACTTTAGACTCCCCCTCGCGTTCCTCAAAATCCCCCACAGATGGGCTCTAGTCATTGCCGGCAATGCAGAGGGTTGCCACGGCTCCACGCCGTGGAAAACATAGGTGCGTACGCACACCCCATACAATTACAACCTCGGAGACTTTGTAATGGTGGGAACTTGTTCTCACTCGCTGGGG